TTGCAAAGCTGGTAAGAACACTTCCCAGCACATGCATCAAACATTTGCTCATCTCTCCGTGCCGCAGTAATGAAACTTGTGATACTTCGCTTGGAACACCGCGTAAACCCTACTTTAATCCCAGTTTAAATACAATTTGTAAAGTTCTTGTAAAAATCTGCAAGATGTCCTAAGCCACTCCTTGTTTGCAAGAAAGCGTGTTAAAGTCTTTTGTGTGCATTTGAAAACATAATCTTCTCCTGAAGCTGTTTTCATGGCAGCACCATTATCCAGAAATATTATCGTGGGGTTACACACGCGGACAGCAGGATCGTTCTGTGCGGTGTCGGCCGGTGGGTTTGTGCGAGACTGTGCTCTTGTGCTGAAGGATTTCCCCGTTTTTAGGGGTTTAATACATGTGCAAATCTTACCTGCCAGATCTTATCTACCCAAATCTCATCCGCCACAAATCTGGCATGCAGCAATGCTTGAGGAACGGGAAAATTTTCTGAGCGTTTGAAAATGAAGGAGAAATTTGGACAGGTTGAAAAAAAACGCTCCTGCTTGTTCAGTGCCCCTAAATGATACTTTGTTTTAGTTCACTGAGAGCGTGGCACCTGTAACCTGTGAGACTTGCTGCTGTGATGCAAAATAAATGCAGTAAGAATAAAAGAAACCCTAGCTTTATAAGCACTGCGGGCGTGAGATGGTCTGTGTTTGTTTAATGGCCTTATGGGTGCTTTAGTTTTCCTTTTATGCTTCTGGTCAGTCAACTTGGGTTTTCTGAAGCACTTGGCTAAATGCAGAGTGTCCTCGGGAGGACCGGGCTCCTACGAGGCAGAGCATGTGTGTTGTTCTTGGAAAGGTCTTCTCATGGCATCTCAAGAGGATCAAGAATCTGTAGGTCTTTATGGAGGATCTCAGTTCTTCACATTAGGTGCTCATCAGCTTCCTTCTCTTCTGACAGTGGCTCTCCTGGTAGCTGATGCTCGAGCCAGGTCAGGGCGTGGGTACTCAAGCTAGGTGACCTGCTTATGGCCTTTCACAGGAGATGGAGCTTTCTGAGCACCCGTCTCCCTTTCTCCTGTTCCACAGCCCACCCCTACCCCCACCATCATCCCTTTCCTTAATACCACTCTTCTTTGAACATCATAAGTTGTCAGAGGCATCCTGGGCTTCCTACCTGACAGCTCAATTCTATTGATGCAGGGGCTTCACCCGTAATTTGAAAATCAACTGTTTCAAATTCAACAGTTCAAAACTTTAAGCATGCTAATTAAATCGTCTGGTGTGATTACTCTTCTCCTGCCTTGCAATTGTTTCTCGATTGGAGAATGGAAGGCTTATCTAGGGTAACTCCTCTTACTACAAACTGTTCACACGATTTATAGCTTGAGATCTCAATTGTTCCTCAAAAGTGAAACAGAACCGCCGTGGCTCAGAGAAAATGTGGTAAAAATAAATATTTACTGACAATGTTCTCAATTTCCTTAATAGCTGAAACTCATAACTGGTCATGCTTTTGTTATAGATACGAGCATTTCAAGGGATTTAAGTAGTTTCTCTCTGCACGGCAGCCTCAGCCCCGGCCTCCTCCCCACAGACCCCCTGTTTAATCGTCACGAATTAGGGATGGCTCGGGAGGAGGCAAGTGTTGATAACCACGTTCCCCATGGTACGAGCAGGCGCAGGATGCGTCCGGGTGCCTGAGGTCATTCCGCACCACCCAGCCCTGGGGAACAATCCCATCCGTGTAAGCACAACGGACTTCTTCAGTCACCTCCTTGCCTTGATATTTCCTTCTCCTTGGTCCCCATTGGCATCTGGAAGGTGCCGCATGATGGTGGAAGTGGGCTCAAGATCATCAACGTGCTAGAGACATCATTGTCACAACGGTGTGGCCCCGGCTCTCTGCTCCCCGCTAGCCAAGGCTAAACCTTGAACTATGAGCCTCTGCTGTTGGGAAGGGATTTTGAAATTCCTATCTTGGAACATACGTAGGCGCTGGTTTAGTTGTAGGCTGGAGTTTGGAGTTGTCATCGGCACTATTTTGACTTCTCAACGAGGTTACTTCAGGCAATCTTACGTAGGATGTCGAATAAAATATGGTATGTTGTCTTGGCCACGTTAGGATGCGATAATGAGAGATGCTTGGACTTCTAAATACCCCAAGGTTTTCCTGGATTTGAGCTGCTCCCAGGCACTCTGCACCTGACAAGGTCTAACCCTGCTCGTAGCAATGGGGAGTCCTAAAAGGTGATTCCCTCGAAAGGCGACGGTTGCGAGATTGAGCACTATGGGAAGGTCCCATAGCAGATGGGAGACGCTAAAGAGGCTGGAGTGGGGCGTCCTGATCTAAAGTTCCTTTTTCATTTTGTGCTCGATGGCTTTAATAAGTCTGCCTTTTCTCTTGCAGGGGAAGGTGGCGCAGACGGCTTGCATGTCGGCGTGCAAACACCTCTCCACCTCGCTGATGCAACTGCTGCTGGAAGCCGAAGTGCGGCAGCTGACACTGGGCGCCTTGCAGCAGTTCAACCTGGACGTGGAGGAGTGCGAACGTAAGATGCAATATCATCTCGTTTTCCATGTGTCACTTTGTCCGTTTGTATGTTGGGACCCAAGCCAGGGCTTTTAGTGATGCCAAGTATTTGGTGAACGCCTGCAGAGCTCGCTGGGGCTGTCCAGGATGACACTTGGCAATACCTTCAGGACAGAAGAAGCCCAGCAAATTCTAAGAGATCAAAGCTTTACTCCTTCTTTTTCTCTTTAATGTCGCCTTGATGCTTTCCAGACCGTCCCTGCTTTTTGAGATGGAGTATTTTAAAAATAGGAGGGATTAGAGTGGGTAAAACATGAGGAGGGCTAACAAAAATCGGTTTACTTATGACTCTGAAAACAATAACTGGCTTATGTTCTTAAGAAGTTCTGGTCTTCTCCTGACCTCAGCTGTTTGTCTTCTCTATCTGCTGCAGGGAATTTTTTCTCAAAGCGAACCCTTTTTGCAAAGTTACTGTTATGGAAAAGAGATGTCTTGGACAAAATAACTACATCTGTTCAGAGGTGTGCGTGGAGCATCGCGGTACCAGCACCATGGTTTTGCTCTCAGCCCTGCTCATTTCGGTTCATCTAGCTTACACCTGAATTAGCTCTGAAATCCTAAGGTTTCCCTCAAGTTGCTTGTTAACCTGCTCCGCGGAAGGGTTAAAAAAATATAGCACAGAACTGACAGAACGCTTTTTTTCTTCCTATTTTTATAATTAAGCTAAAGCAGGGTGAACGCACTTTTGCACAGGAACCTCTCTCCCTTATGAGGGGGATGGATTTATTATTGGGATTAATACTGGGATGGATTAGCGACCGTGACTATGGAAAACACAGAGCTTGACAGGGGTGATAAAGAGTTCAGGAAATCTTTGATAAAGTATTTTAGGGAAGTTTTTTTTCCAAATACCCCCCTTTTTGGCTTTCTTGGTTGATGCGGAGATTGTTTAGAACACGATAAACCTGTTTACTGCAGAGTCTGCTGAAATGCTCTTTGGTCCAATGTGGCTCCCATTGAACCCCACAGCAAGATAGTCCCTGGCCTCGGTGCGAATGGTACCGGAGCCTGTAGCGGTGCGTTTGCTTTTCCTGACTGATAACTCGGTGCAATCAGTTGTGTTGGTTTCGTCTTCATCTGGCGCTTAACACTGTCAAAGGATATTCTTCTACCCTTTATAAAACATTTTGCCAATCATGCAGTTCAGCTGCACCCATCAATAGTGAGAAAGATTTCTGAGAAAGATCACCCAGTAAGATTTTTGGTGTTTGTGGGGGGTATATTTTCATTTTTGAATGTCCTTTTGCTAATTTCCTGCACTCAGCTGAGTAGCCTGGGAGAAGGATCCCTGTTTAATGAATCATATCCCAAATTTGCAGCTATATCCTAGGTCGTAATGCAAGCAATGCCTTATTTTTCTTTCAGAAACGCCTTCAGCCCTAAATTCTTGCTGTCTAATTTGTGTCCCATCAGCGTGTCGGGGCTGCGCTGGTAGCAGCTGCGTTCCCAGTCGGTGTCCGCAGAGGGACAGGCGATGTTGCTGAGAATAATAGGAAGCATTTGTCATTAATAATAGTTTCCTTCTTTTTCTTTTGGCTGCAAACAGACTCATAACCCTGCAGTTTTCTGCCCCATCGGTAGCGTGGGTCACTAAGCAGCATCTCTTCCCTAAAAGCCCCTGATGCTAAGTAAAACGGATGACATTTAATATTGGGTTTAAAAGCACGATTCCTTAAATTCCAATTGTTTCGCGAGACAAAACCAGGAGCACTCAGACATTCAAGAGCAGGTGACGCCAACCTGAGCAGCGGGGCAGGCGACCCGCTCCCCCCCAGCCCCGGCCCGAGATGCCGTCTCGGGCAGGGGAATGGAGACGGATGCCGGTGCTGTAACCTTCCTATCCATCACTGCCAGCCCCCAGAACGGTAAACCCAGACAAAGTCTTTTTCTTCCTTTTCGGCAGCAAAAATGCATTCCCTGGTTCCTGCGGGTTTGTCTGGTGGCTTTGCTGACACCAGGGATAATTTTAGTTCTATTTTTGAGAAGCAGTGCATCAAGATTTTAATTTTAAGAAAAGCCAATCCTGAGAGTGAACTGGTATATTCAGAAAATATGTTTCCATTTGCAAGGATTTTGTTTGGGTTTTTTGGGTTTTTTATCTTTTACCTGAAAGCGCAGGTGCGAATCTCAGCATCCTTATTATACCTGTTACATATTTGACTTTATATCTCTGCTCTCAACCCTCTTCCTCTCCCCAGAGCCCCAAGCCTTACCTAGTTTAGAAGCTTTATCTTGTACTTATATTAAAATAGGATTTTATGGCTGTTTGGAGCACTTCCAGTGAGTTCTGTAATGTGGGAATGGGGCTTCGGAGTTTTGATCCTGGAGTTTATTAGGCTTTTGTTTAAGTCTCTTGTGAATGCTAAAGGAATAAGCTGGTTAAGAGAGTGGTGAGGCAAATTAATGAAAGGACATAGTCAGATATTAAGCATGGTTTGAAGGTGGTGCAGATAATTTGCCCTGTATCAGAGTAGATACAATGCACATTACAAGAAAATGTGTTTATATACACAATAGGTAACAAGTGTAGAGGTGAAAAAGATGATGGCTTAGACTTAAAACAAGACACTGGTAGATTAATTCTGCAGACTTGTGGACTCATAAAATATTTCCTGATTTACAAATAAGTTGCTATCCCATCAGCATAAAAAGGGAATGGCTGCATGAACCGTTGCATCAGACTAAGGTTTGGCACCAGGCACATGCAAGCCCGGATGGTGCTCAGGAGAAGCACGAGGTCATGGTGGGACCCCTTGCCTGCACCATAAATTCCCCCCTCCATAGAAACGTGCTTGTTTTGCATGTTCAAAGCACTGAATATACAGTTTATTAATTTTATGACCTTCAAAAAGAAAGCTTTCGGAGGACTGGGGAGAAGTAGGAAATTAAATAAACATTAAGAGCCAAATCTTGCATGTCTTGGTCATATGAATAGTCCCGTATACGTCAGCAGCATTTTTGGTGCGAAGAGGCAAGAAAGAGTGGAGCTGAGAGGTTGTAAAAGTCCTATTAGGCTGGCTGTGATGCGAGAAACCTGGGAAAAATGCGAGCTGTTTCCCTGTGGCGTTATCCCCCCGGTGAGACCACGGTGCTGGAGCCTCGGGCTGGACAAAGCCCTCGAGGAGATGTAAGGCACCGGTTCTGCACACCAAGGTGGATGTCCTCTTTTTTTCCCAGCAAAAAGCTGTTTTCCAAGATATGTGTTGGAGGTTTGAAAGTCTTTTGGTGCAGCTTTACAGCCGTGTGTGTGCGTGGATGGCACGGCTGATGTCCAGGGAAGAGCAAAAGTCATTTTTAAAACGTCTGTTGTTGGCCAGGTATTAGTTGTAACTCTTGGTTTTATTGCTTGGCTTTACGTAGCTCTTTTTTCATGCAGTCAAGAGAGATTCTCTCACCTCTTTATTTAAACCTGAAGTGAAATAAGGCATAGAGGTTAAATGAATTGCCCAGAAAGACACGGTAGGACATGTCTAATTATGTCTCAATTTAGGAGTGAGTTCTGGCTCCAGCCCAACGAGCCAACTTGAAAAGAGAAAAAAAAACAACTCTGGAGAGGAAAAAAAAACCTAACACAAATATTTCTGTGAACCTGTAAATAGAGGAGGTGATGCTTTTTTCAGAATAGGCATTTGGTTTTTAAAATGGGTTTGCTGTCCTCCAGAATACGTCTGTAACCCAAGATTTAACAGAACGTGCAATGCTTTTTGTAATTGCTACATGCCTTGTAACCCAGTTCCCTGCTTTTTTGGACCTCCTGGTGCTGGTATATATATTTTTTTCCATATGTCCTGTACCTCAGAGGTACTGGGAATCAAATGTAACAACCCAAATTTGGAGATTACGACCGAAAAAGAAAAAAGAAAGGGGGGTGGGAATCAAATGTAACAACCCAGATTTGGAGGTTACGACCGAAAAAGAAAAAAGAAAGGGGGCTGCTCTCGCTCCTACAAAAGTGTTTCCCATCTACGTAACTGGTTCCAGCAGTGGTTGAGGCAGATTGTTTTTACAATACTTAGATCATAAAATAAGCAGTTCCATAATCTCTAAAGTCTTTTAACTGCTGCTTTATGAGAAATTAAAAGAGCCGTAAAAATTATATTTAAAATTTCATTAAACTCCCAATTTTTGTTCAGCCCACTCCTGGGGGCAGTCAATAAGAAACACAGATGTCTCCGCTGGTTTGAGGAATCCTCCGGCCCGACACCCGAGCGTGCCAAAATGCACCGATACGGGTCCCGGCGCAGCCGTTCGCCACCTCCTTCTTGGCTGCATTATCTGGCTCCGAGGACTTTCTCACGCGGAAATCCCGTTATTTGTGTAAGATGCCGGGGTTTGCCCACCATGCCGGGGGAGCCCTCTCCCTCGAGCGCAGGCTCTTTGCACCACGCAAACGGCTGCCTGATGTTCTTCCAACCTGTAACCCGTCAGGAATTAGCCTGTGCGGAGCTAGAGCTGAGCACGGCAGTTTTGAGGACAAACTCTCTGATTTTAGGTTATTGCACTGTGTGCTTGCTGGTATCCGTCCTGCCACAATGCACCAGCAGAAGGTCATATTTTGGGGGATGTTGCAATGAACAGAGGGAAAGGTTTGAGCAGATCACATCAGGAGAGAAATCTCCACGCCACTGGTGCTGATCTCTCAATGCACCTCAAATACTGTGTTCAGTTTTGGGCCCCTCACTACAAGAAGGACATGGAGGTGCTGGAGCGTGTCCAGAGAAGGGCAACGAAGCTGGTGAAGGGCCTGGAGCACAAGTCGGATGAGGAGCGGCTGAGGGAAATAGGGTTGTTTAGCCTGGAGAAGAGGAGGCTGAAGGGAGACCTCATCGCGCTCTACAACTACCTGAAAGGAGGTTGTAGCCAGGTGGGGGTCGGTCTCTTCTCCCAAGTAACAGCGATAGGACGAGAGGAAATGGCCTCAAGTTGCGCCAAGGGAGGTTTAGACTGGACATTAGGAAA